GGGGGGCAGGGAGGAGTGAGCGAGCGGCTGTGTGGTGCTCAGTTGCCATCTGAGGTTAAACCACAACAGCACTCCAGGAACCTCCTGGTTTGCTTATGTCCTGCTGCATTGTCCCTTCAATGATATCAGGGTGGTTGAAGGTGAGGACCAGTGCCTGCGAATGTGAGGCTGTTCCTATCCGTCTGTAGAAGGCCTCATCCACTTGTTCTTCCTGGTCAGGTGGCGTATAGCAGACACCCACTATACTGTCCTCTTTGCCTGTCCTCTCTTTAATCCTAACCCGTAAGGTCTCCATCAATTCCTCTTCTATCCCCACACAGAGCTCCATGCATTCCAGCTACTCTCTCACATAAAGGGCAACTCCCCCTCCTCGTCTTCCCTTCTTGTCCTTCCTAAAAAGCCTGTATCCCTCCATTGCAACATTCCAGTCATGAGAGCCATCCCACCACATCTCCATGATCCAATCTTTCTGTTATTAAAAGAAGTATCCCAAATAGATGGAAGAAACTGCTGTAGGGGTCAAGTTTAGAGGAATTAAAATGCATGTGAGTTAAATGGAGGGAAATTAGTATTAATAAAATGTAGCTTTCTATCTGCAGTTTATAACAGGAATTTGAGGTATGCTTTTGATCATGCACTAAAAAGAATGTTAAAATAGGAGGTACATTTTATCAGTAGCAATGCTGTGGTTATTTTAGGTTCTTAACTTCTGTTTAAGCATATCAAGAAATAAGACCACAACATTTATAAAGTGCTTGTTGCTGCAATTTATGTCTTTTGTTTATGGAGGTCTGAATTTTTTCAGTATGTTTGTGGATTTTGAGGTGAGTGATTTACTGAAGGTTAGACATTGAACTGGGGACAAAGTCAGGCATAGAACTCAGGGATCCTCTTGCCGTGCCTCATCCTTTTGTTGTTTCATTATACTGCCTTTTTGTAAACAAGTGTAGGTGTTTCCCTCACAAATTATATTTAATGTGAAATTTGATCTTCAACCAAGCCACTCTCCATAATTTATCAGCAATCCTGGTTAACGGGGGAGGTCCCGGATGACTGGAGGCTGGCCAATATGACACCCATCTACAAGAAGGGCCGGAAGGAGGATCCGGGGAACTACAGGCCTGTCAGCCTGACCTTGGTGCCGGGGAAGATTATGGAGCAGTTCATCTTGAGGGCGCTCACAAGGCATGTGCGGAACAACCAGGGCATCAGGCCCAGCCAGCACGGGTTCATGAGAGGCAGGTCCTGCTT